AGCTGTGGTTTACGCCTGGTATCCCATCCAGTTAGTGTTTCCTTTCTTCTAAAAATGACCCAGTTTAGAGGCCTGCCGGGTGGCGTAGTGGTTAAGTTAGCGCGCTCTGATTCAGAGGCCTGGGGTTCCCCGGTTTGGATCCGATGCAGACCTACACACCGTTGTCAAGCCATTTTGAGTGAGGCAGGCATCCCATATAAAGTAGAGGAAGATGGGCACAGATGTTAGCTCAGGGCTAATCTTCCTCACCAAAAAGAAAAAAAAAATGACCCAGTTTAAATGATAGACTATATATGGTTCCCTTTCCCTTATGTAATGGGCACTCAGACAACATCTACTGAATTGAATCGAACAATTTGGAAAATATTGAAGCGATAGTTGCAGTGAAGTTTAAAAACATGTAGTGAATTTTTCTTAGAAACAAGGGTGCTAAGAAATACTGAGCAAAGAAGTAGGAGGATACGTAAGACAAGATGGTTGCTAAGCAATTGCATTGGTCCTGGTGTGCTCCAAAGGAAAAAGCCCAGCACTGAAATAAGGGGACACGTATGACCCAAAACAGGGTTCTTAACCTTTCTTTGTCTTGGTTTCCTCATTTGTAAACTATAAATAACAACTGCTTTCCACACCTCACAGAGTTATTTTCAGAATCAGTGAGATGAGATATAAATGTGCATTAAAAATTAAAAAGGAAACTGTACGTAAAATAGTCTAGTTCTTTTTGCCAAATTGTTCCCAGTTATTTTTCAAACCTTCCTCTCTACTCTTGAAGGAATTAAAGCAGGAGCAGGGACAACAGAGGTGAAGGGCAATGGCTTTGTGTTCGTGACACAGGGGGATGATAGAAAGAGAACCAGGACCAGTAGTGAGAAAATCTGGATTCGAGTTTTCCTCTGCTATTTGGTAGCTGTGTGGTTTTGGACCATAAGTAATCTCTGAGTTCTCTGTTTGTAAAATAAAGACAATAATGATGAAAGAAAAAATGAGACACCATCACTTAAAAGAAAACACCATTCTAAAAAGAAAAAATGAGAAAATTCAATGAGTTGTTTTGAAAAGATTTACTTTAAAACTATAATTATGCACTCTGTGAAAATAAGCTTATGAAGATCTACGCAAACAGTCATGGATAGTTAGAGATTCTCAGTGTCCTGAGTATACCGTGGACATGGAACAGCTCATTTTGGGCAAAGGAGGGATAGGTGGAAAATGCATAGACATCGTTTTTCAGCTGTGACATCCTGTATTATAACACAGCAGCCATCCATGGATAGCAATCAGAAGCATGATAAAAACACAACAATCTTAATAAATGTCACTGATGTCTGATGGGGACCCTGTGCTCACGTTAAAGACCTTAGAGACCGTTAATTTCCTACAAGCCCACTGGGCCCACTAGCGCCAAAATTTACTGGGAGTTGCCTGCTGTGTATCGAATTTTAAAGAGGGAATTCCTTCGTTTTAGGAAAGTCTAAAAGAAACAAGGAGAAAAGGACTTTTGTTAACCATGGATGGGAAGAGGATCAATAAATATTGTGCACAAATTCCATATGATTGTGCAGGGTATCACATTGCATGGGGATAATGTAAAAAAGTCTGTCTCCGTGCAAGAATGGGATAAGATAAAGGCTGGAGACCCTTCATTTCCTCAGTATGTTCAGAGCTTGGACTGAGCTGGTCCACTGTAGGTGCTCAAAACACGTTTGTGGACCCAGTCTCGGTTGTGTAGGGCAGATCCACTCACACCCCCGGCACGGCCGTCTCCATCGTATTTTAAGAACGGAGATGATGACGGCCCCGTTCATGGGCAAGGGACGCGCGCGCGCGCGCGCACACACGCACACTCCGCCCTACGCTGTCTGTGCTGCGCCTAGTCCTGCCCGAGAGCCTCGGGGGTCCCGAGCTTTTCTGTCCTCCACGCAAGTGGCCGGGTCGCTCGTGTGCTCTTCACGCTGCGGGCAGTGAGTCACTCATGTGACTCCAACTGACTCGGAAGGGGCGAGATCGGCATTAGCGATTCCACTCTCCGGCGGGCGGCTCTCTGTGCTCCCTAGCGCTGGAGAGGGAGGGAAAAGAGGGGACGCCGAGGTCCGGCCCGTCTGTGGCGACGTCCCAGCGCCCGGGGGTCCCGAGCCGCGGGAGGAGAACCGGGAGGGCGAGACCCGGCGGGCGGAGAGCGCCGGGCGCTGAGACCCGAGCACCGCGCTGGCGGGCGGGGCACGGACAGCCCCTCCCCGCGGGGCTGGGCGAGCGCGACCTGCGTGTCTCTCCGGGTTTGCCCCCGGCGCGGGGAAGCCTGAGCCGGGGCCGCCCACGCCGTAACCAAGACTCGTGTTTGCGCTGCTTGCGAGGAGTTTTTCACTTTCCAAGTCTCATTCGATCCCCGCAGCAAACCAGGAAAGAGGCAAGGCTGGGGACCTGAGAGCGGAATTGGAACTCAGGGCTTCTGACGCCAGGTCTCTCCCAAGGTGTCCTTTCTTCTACGACTTCCTAGAGCGCGACAGTCCGCTGCAAGAATTCCAGAACAGAATAAGGCGCTGGCAAGTTTTCGGCTTAAGGTTTCTTTGTAGGGTCGCCCCCCGCCACGGCTCGGAAAGCGAGGACTGAGGCGGGTAACTGGAGCCGAGGGGCGGAGCGCCTTCTCGCGGTCCTCTGCCTGGAAACTCGTCTACAGTCGCTTTCTCCCAGGCGACGGGTGGTTGTGAATACTCGTCTAACAGACGTTTGCCTGCATCTCTGCGGCGAAGAGGATACGATAATACCATTTTTCTAGGAAGTCTCGGGATAATATGTTTTATGACCGTTAAACTATTTTATTTATTAATGTTTATTCTACATATTTATCTGAGGAAATAATACAAAATGTTGACAAGGATGAATGCACAAAGATGTTCTCTGAAGCCTTATTTTCAGTGACGAAAAATATTAGATACAGTAATCTAAAAGTATAAACACAGTCTATTGAGGTCCATTCATAACAAGGACTATCATATTGCCATTTTGAAATAGCATATTTGTAAAAACTTTAAAGAAGTGCTGGACATGATTATGATGTAAGTTTTAAATATACGAACTTGCATATATCCTATGAGCTCATACACGCAAACATATATGAGAAGGAAGTGCGCTAAAATGTTATCTCTGGATGGATCGTGTTTTCTTTTCAACTTGTCCTTATTTTCCATTTTTTCCGAAGCGTGCAAGGTGACTTTTATACTTAGAAAAAGATAAAATAAAATTTAGATAAATGTATGGATCGTTGCAAGATTTCGACATCTTTGAGGACAAAGTGATGTCTCTTTCAGAAAAAAGGGGGGGGGTACTGTTTTGGCAAAACCACTCTGCCATCGACCACCTGGGCCACCTCGCGAGTGGCTTATCCTCTCTGATCGCTACTCCTCACTGAAAAAAAAGAAACTGGAAACATTCAGCCTATAGCTTTGATGTAAAAAGTAAATGATACGATGTATAAGAAATTACTTGGCTGAACCATCAAATTTGCCAAAATTTTACATGAATTTTTGTGATAATTTTTGCACCCACTACCTCCAGTTTATCCGGATTTCAGAAAATAACGCCCAGACGGTTCTTCTAATATTGAATTCGCCTAATAAGGTTTATCTAAGAAACACTTGTGAAATTCCAAAAAGAACTCTAGTGAGATCTCATTTTGATTAAAAAGTATTTTTAAACTCTTTAGATTCTGTGCTGAGACTGCTGCCCCGAATCTTGTTTTCTTGGTTGAACCACGGGGCATGAGGAACAGCAGTGGGTATTCATTGACGGCTTCATACACACTATCTCACTTAATTCTCACAGTCATCCCATGATGAGCGCTTTCTTATCTTCGTTTTTTACTAAGCATAAGCTTTGTGAGGTAAAAAAAACTTGGCGCAAAGCCCACAGTTGATTGTCGCAGAGCCAGGGCTGGGCCTGTTGACTCCGCCCACGTTCATAACCACTGCACCGCTGTGTCCCGGGAGCGCTTCCGAAGATCTACCGCTCGTCAAAATTTCCCGCCCCTTCGGAGGGCGCAGCGTTCACACACACGCTCGCGCGCTCAAGACAATCAACTTTAGGGAGGACAAAGGGGAGGAAGAGAAGGAACTTGGGGACACGCGGGGCAAGGTGAGCCCCAGTCTGGCACCTCCACGTGGGCCGGGGCTATTACTTTCCCTCCTCCGCACCTACCAGCGGAGCCTGAAAAGAGGGTGGGGAGAGGGTCCCCCAATATAGCTCCCGGAGCTGAGATGCTCCTCCTGGGAAGTGCAGGATCCGGGCTCCCCAGACCCGGACTCCGCTCAACGCGAGACATTTCCACCTCAGTCTCGGCCATGGCGGGTCAAGACTCGCTCCTCCGCGTCCAGCCTGTGGTCCCTGCAAGGAGCTCCCCGCCCCTGGCCCCTGCCCTGTGCCCACTAAGACCCCGGGGTGCACCTCCATTCCTGTGGGTGCCTAGCCGTCTCCACCTGAGTTTTCCTCTGAATTGAGAGTGGAGAGTTGAGCTCAAACCAGGCCGGTTGGACCGGCTTGGACTGCAGAGCAAGGGTTCCACCCCTCATCCCCGCACTTGCACGGGGGGAGTCCCTGCGGACCCTGGGCTGACCTCGGAGGCTCCCGCTTGTATCTTGTTTACCGAGATACAAGCCGCGCGCAGCGCCGTCTGTCTTGCTTTTGAGAACCGTCAATACGAAACAAACCTTTCCCGAAGGTGGCTGGGGATGGAGAGGAATTGGAAGGGCGCGGGAAGAAAGCACTTAGGGAGGAAGGTGCTGGGTTAGCACGTGGTTTCTGCGGGAACCAATCGGGTCGGCGGTCTCGTCACTCGGCCACGGTCACCCGGCCAGCAGGGATGGCCCAGAGGAAGGCGCAGTTCGGGAGGCTGGGCGTCTGTCCCAGTCCTTGAGTCTGCGGTGCCTGCAGCGACAGGACAGGAAGCTCAAAGAGCTGCGCTCCGCGGGGACCCGGGACACCCCGGCCCCGCCCCTTCCTCCTTCGGGATGCTGCTGAGCCCTGTCACCTCCACCCCTTTCTCCGTCAATGACATCCTGAGGCTGGAGCGCGAGCACATTGGCCCCGAGGCTTTGCAACTCCGGGGGGCACGGAGGAGCCCGGAAAGTTCTCAGAACCCGCGACTGGTCCCAGAGCCGCGAGGGACAGAGGCTCACAACACTGGTAGCGACGGCGACAGAAGGCAGGACGGGTCGGCGCCTCCTGGGGGACCCTGTGAAACGGTCACAGAGATGGACGCGGAACCCGTAGAGGAGCCACGTGAGTACACGCTCTGGTCTTGGCTCCTACAAGGGAAATCGTGAGGGGGGATGGGTCCTTACCAATCGGCGCATGGGGGGACACTCCTGCTTTTCCTGGCTCCGAGGGCCTATCCCCATTTCCGTCATTTGAAGAGTCCAAAAGGCCTCTCAGCCCCCTCTCCCATCCCCTCCAGACACCCAGTGTGCTTCACACACCCCTGATGAAAATAAGGTGCTGAATCTTAGGGATTCACTATTCCCACAGCCTGTCCTCTGATTCCCACAAACGCATCACCCCCACTCAGAGCCACAGTTCCCAGAAACTCCAGCTTCTCTTTCTTAGGGCGAAACCCTCTACAGCGCCTTAGCTTTGCCCCATCCCCACCAGCCTTCTCCGCCGTCGCCGAACCTCTCTGCCCTAAGCAGTCCGCCGAAGTGGAGCCATCAAAGCAGCGGGCGCTTTGGGAGTGGAAACTCCGTCGGCTCTGGGGTCCGTCCCAGGCCGTTCCCTTCTTGGGGCTCCCTGAGTGGCCTGGCCAACCCAGTCTTATTCGTCTGCCCGGGTCTGTCGTCCCGAAAATGAGAGGTGGCGACCAGACCGGGTGGTGGCTGAGTCCCTCGGCGTGGACGGCCCTGCGCGCGCTGGCGCAGGCCCTCCGCGTCTGGGAGCATGGTGAGGGCAGTTCGGGTTTTAGCTGCTCCGGGAGACGACTCCGGCGGAGTCTCGGCGCCTGGTCTCCGAAGGCGCCACCTCGTGCGCGGGCAGCGAGGCCCCGGCACCCGCGTCCAGCGGCGGGAAGGGAAGGGACGGGCGGGGAGTTGTGAGGCTCGACATTCTGCGAGATGAAGAAGCCGCTCTTTCTCTTGCCAAACCTCTGCGCCTCGGCCCGAAGGCTGCATGCCCCGGCTGTGCCCTGGCCCCTCTATACAAGGCCCGAACTAACCAAATAAAAGAAAGACGCTAGTTCGGAGTTATTCATCGACTTGGGCAGGCTGGTTATTCACCGACTCCAGGAGTCTGGAGAACTTGAAACTTTTCTGCGTTCGCAAAGAAGCCTGTGGGTTTTCTGCAGCGGACTCTGCAGCGGACTCTGAACTCCCTCGGCGCTGCTCAGCCAATCGGGCAGTCCGCTTCGGCTTTGCTAAGAAAGGGTCCTGCTCCTCGGGTCACTGCTGTCCTCGCAGCGAAGGCACCTGCAGCGCGTTCCTCCTCTGCTGGGGAACCGGGGGCGGCGACTCTTCTGCAGCTGCGGTGGACGCCGAGAAGGGGCCGGCGCCTGGCTCCAGGAACGAAGCCCTGGGCTGCGGCAGCGACTGCGTAGAGAAGTGACCTCCCTGGTAGACTCCGCGCCTCATCCGTCCCCAGCCGACCCACCTTCCTTTCAGGGCCGCAAGGCAAGAGGGGCTCGGACTGTGGCCAGAAGGGCGAGGGATGCTAGTACGCGCCCGGGGTGCCGCGCAGCCCCTCGGCCTGCTTGGTCAGTGACTCGCAAATGGCGTCCTTCTTGTTCCACAGAGCCACTGAAGGTCAGTTGCTACTTTTCGGTTTATTAAGAAAAAGCCTAGTCAATATTTTTCTTCTTTGCAGGGAGAGGTTGCCTCAGTTTCTCTGAGCGCAGGCGTCTCTGAAGGAAGTTTTTATTTCCTCAAACTTAAATACCAAACAGCCCCATATCCCCAGGAGATTGTGCCGGCGCGGTCGGGGATTTGGAGTCGGGTTCCAACCCGTATGGGCTGTAATTAGGCGTGTCCCGCTCCACCTCTCCACTAGCTTGCATCCCCTCCACGTTGCTGGTTGTCTCCTGGATGAGTTTCCATGAAAAAGTATTTCCTCTCTACCCAGCCTCGTCGGGGTGCTTGGCGAGGGCTCTGTCCCGGGGGAAGAGAAAGTCTGGGCGAAGCCAACGCCATCCGCTTGCCAGGGACACCCCAAAGGAGAAACAGGCCGCTTTTAAAAAAGCCAAATGTGGATCTCAACTTTATATATTCCTCAAAGAGAACCTCAGTTTCCAAGCTAAGAGTCAGGAGTCAGAAAATATTTCGTTTTATTTTGTTAATTTGGATTGCAGAGCATTGCGTCCAAGAAAGATGGGACGGGTTCCTGGTGCCGGTGGAGCACTTGATGACCAAAAAGACAATGGTGTGTGCAAACGTGGGGTGAAGGTGGGAGACACGGAGACTCTTGTCCCTGAGCTTGGAGCCGAGTACCCTGGGATGCGCGCGGGACCACGACGGATAAGCAGGCAGACAGGAGCCTCCGGCCAGCATGTCGCTGAGTTTCGGCTCTCTCGTGCTGTCTCTCTCTCCCTCTGTCTCTCCCAAGGGCAGTCCAAAGTCAGTCTCCATCTGATAGGCTCCCACACTCACGCTTGATTGTCGAACGAAGCAAAAGCTTCCCCAAACTGGCGCACACTTTAGAATTGAATTCACAGCGAACCGCCCCTACCCACCAGCACATACACATTCTAAGAAGAAAAAGAAGCTCCGACTTCATCAAGAGTCTGCTTTTTGGGAAACGGCTGTACACTGGGAATCGCAGAGTGTCGCAATTTACATTATGTGCCAGCAGGTAGAAAAGCAACAGAGTTTGGGGAAAAGGAACATTGAGACCAACCTGGGACGGTGTAGAGGGGTCAGCAGAGGGGAGAAGGGGGTGCGAAGTGAAGGCTACCAGGGGAGAGGGGCGTCCCTTGAAAGCAAAGTAAGAATTGCTCAGGGGAGCCTTAGGCTGGCGCTGACGGCGTTCCTTCCTTGCTTTTAGAGCCCGGCCTCAGCGCAGCTTCGCCCCTCCAAGGCGGGACCAGGATGCCAGAGCGCCGCGTCGGCGACAGTGGCGACGGCGCACGCAGCGAGCGCACGGAGCAGCCCCGGGCGCGGCAGCGGCGGAAGCCGCGCGTGCTCTTCTCGCAGGCGCAGGTGCTGGCGCTGGAGCGGCGCTTCAAGCAGCAGCGCTACCTGTCGGCGCCCGAGCGCGAGCACCTGGCCAGCGCGCTGCAGCTCACGCCTACGCAGGTTAAGATCTGGTTTCAGAACCGGCGCTACAAGTGCAAGAGGCAGCGCCAGGACAAGTCCCTGGAACTGGCGGGCCACCCCCTAGCGCCGCGTCGGGTGGCGGTGCCCGTGCTGGTGCGGGATGGCAAGCCCTGCCTCGGCCCGGGCGCTCCGGCCTTTCCCGGTCCCTACGGCGCCGCCTCGGCGGCCTATTCCTGTTACCGCGGCTACGCGGGCGCTCCCTACGGCGCGGGCTACGGCGGCGGCTACGCGGGCGCGCCCCGGGGCCCCGCGCATCCCGCACCCCTGGCCAGCGCGGGCTTCGGCGGGGGTGGCCAAAACGCCAGCCCGCAAGGCCATCTGCCCGCCACGCTGCAGGATGTCAGGGCCTGGTGAGGCGCCTGGGCTCGGATACACCACCGGGGCCAGGTGTGCTCAGTCCCTGCCCCTCAGCCAACGGGTCGGGGCCGTGGAGGAAAGAGGCGACGCGACGGCACTTCTCCCCCGAGCGATCTCTGGGACTGCGAATTGTCCCCCACGAGCCTTCCCGCTGAGGGCCCAGGGGACGCTCCCCTCCTCAAGAAACTAAACGCGGAGCCGTCGCCTGCTGCCCGCGAAGCAGCACTGGGAACCGGGAGGAGAGCCGCAGGTGGCCGGCACTGAGGCTGGTGACTTTTCGGGCCTCAAACCCAGGGGCTGACAGGCTCCTTAATTTGTGTGCAGCAGCCCTGGGAGGCTGGAGGGTGATTCAGAGGGTGCGCTAGAGGGCTTCGGTCCTCCAATGATAGGCAACAGGTGGGTGAAGGAGACAGCAGGCGGGTGAGGAAAGGCGGATGAAGAGCCGGAAGAGGAGGATCCAAGAAGGTCAGGAAGAGGGACTATTGTGGCAGACCCTCCTCCTGCGGCGTGTAAACTGCCGCCTTCCCTCGGGGCTGAAGGCTGCGCCCCTGGGGACTCAGTGTTTTGATCCAGTGGAGCGCCCTTCTCTGGAGACACAGCGGCTCCCCAGGAAGTATCCTCTGCATTCTGGTCCTTCCCTCGCTGTCAGTACATTTTATCTCTGGTACACAGCTCAGCATCTTGAGTAAATATACTAAATCTATTTGTGTGTGTTTGCATGTGTATAGGCCATTAGAATCTATCCACCTCTCTGTTACTTCTAAACAACTTCGAATAAAAGTAAAAATGAAACCCAGAAGTTCTGATTCCCCGGTACTTACAGGATTCCCTAGGGAGACAAAACAGCGTCAGCCCTGGAGACAGGTTCGCTGATTTCTCCTCACACCCCCTCTCCCTCTGCAGGTTTTCCTTCAGAACATATAGGTTTCTGCCCTCCGGGTGGCCGTAAGTCCTGACATGATGGGTAGGAAGCCTGAACTTGAGGGGAAATTATGATCCCCCCCCAAATACGTCTGAAGTCGTGCAAGCTGAAGACTGAAAACACACTCATTTTATTAGTGGGAACATGCAAGCAAAGAAGACACCTATCTTTGGGAAGCACTGGTAGGAAAATCAGGGTCTTTTCTTTTTTCTTCATTCCCTCGACCACTAACTTGTCAAAAGTTAAATTCTTTTATTTAATAAGTTGTAATATTTAATTAACATGCACTGGCCCTGCATTTTCTCATTTCTGAATGTGCCTGGTTTTTACTAACGTGGGAAACAGAGGGCTTGGTCCCATGTAAACCATTCCTGACTAGTGATAGCTTACGTCTCTTAAAGTTTATATGTTTAAGCTAAAAACAAGAGTAATAGTTTATATTTTTCTTACTACCATTTCCTTACATTTTCTCTCCCTTTTTTCCCCATCCCTTTTCTTTTTTATTTCTCTATTATCATTGTTAATAAAAGTTCATTTGGAGACACCCTGCAGTGTCTTTCACTTATAGCTAGTGTTGTGCCCCTGGGATTAAAAAGTGCAGTATGTATACTTTAAATTCAGAAATCTCAATAAATATTCTTTGGTCAATTAAGCTAAGATTAAAAAATAGAGATTACAGTTAAAATCTGCATCATGAGAAATTTGTCATTCAATGCTCTCCTTCTCCCTTCACTCTGGGCTATTCCTTAGAAGAGGACAAGTTACCCGTGGACACTGGCCTTAGATTCACAACAGCTGAGTTTAAGTTCAGTGCTGTCCCTGACACCTCTCTGGCCCTCAGTTGTTAATTCAGTTGTATTAAATTTTTCCAAGATTAGATTCTAAAATACCACGTTATTTTTTAAAAATCCTTTGTTGGTGTCCTTTGGGTAAAGTCTTTACCCTTGAAATGTAGGTTATCCTCATGTGGCCCTAGCAAAGTACTTGGCACAGAGTAGGAAATTAGTAAATGTTACTCGCTTCACCCTCCCACCCTCTTCTAACATAGAAAGGTAATCCCAGAAGCAGTTACCAGAGGAGTATTGTTCTGAATAGGCCTTGCCTCCCGCCTTGTACCACATGGAAAAGCACAGGAGGAAGATCGATGGCTGTGGTCGAGGCTGTGAGTGAAGGGGAAAGAGGCTTAGTTCAGTCACCAGCAACTCAGTCATCGCTGAACATTTCTGGTAGGAACACAAGAGAAAATAAGATTTGGCTGCCGCCCTTAAGGAATTTATTATCTAATGTGATACCAGAGACTAACATGAGAAAAGTATCTAAAAATGCAAGGTGGTATATGCTGCATGTCAAGTGGGACAGACAAGAAGCTCTCTAGAAAGAAAGAAAACCCGCTACGAGCTGGGGCACTTAGAGAAGGTGGGTTAAGCCTGGTGATTAGGGTGGGAATGGCACCATTTACTGGGAGAGGTTCTGGGAAAGGACTAGCGCTTAGGGATGGAGAAAGTAAATGGGCACATGCCCAGGCCAGGGTCAGATTCTACAGTCATCTGAGACACAGTTGAAGGCTGGCTTCCGGGAATTTGTAAACTGCTCTGTTGGCTGAGGGGTGTGGGAAGCCACAGGGGACGTTGATTTCATACACACCCAGGACCCTTTAGAGACCCTTTAGATCTATGACCTGCAACATTGTCTGTTTTGCTCTCCAGATTGCTGTAGCATCCACATTTGCTGGTCTAAACAAACAAAAACCTATAACAAAACCTTGTCCATGTGTAATCCATGTAGTTTTTTCTTCCGACGAGAGCATAGAAATTTGAGATCCATAGGACACCATTGATTTCTTTCCAAAAGGTAAGGAGAGTGAAGGAAAACTCTCTCCTCCCACCTCCCCACTTTCTGCCTGTCAGGATCACTTTACAACGCATCCCTTTCCGGGCTCATCGAGCCCACCCCCAGCTGCCCGTCTTCCATCCTGTAATCGCTCCTCTGCACTGAAAGCTGCCCCTTTGTGTGTGTGTCTCACCAACCCAGCTTGTCCAAGGGAGGGCTCTCACCAGGGAGCCGCTCTGTAAGCAATCAGCTTATCTGCATCCTTCAGTCCCGTCACTCCAGTCACCTCTTAATGTTCACAAGTTCCCCAAATGGGAAGTAATTGACCTCTAAACAAAACAAAAAAGCTCTCAGAGAGATAGCAGAGGTTCCTTTCCTGACTGTCCCAGGGCTAGGGGTCTCACCTCGGCCAGGTGGATAAGTCAATAAAACGGCAGACTTCCTGGCTCCCTGTCCTTCCTCTGCCCCTCGCAGCCCCTCCAAGCCAGCTTCACGGATACCATCTGCAAATCAGATGCAGCATGAGCCCGACTCTAGCTTTCAGAGTTCCCAGAGATTCCTGGTATTTATTTTTTGTGATTTTATCATGACGAAGATGTAGCTTTTGGGGGACATATTTAAATCTTTTAAAATTCCACTTGAAAAATGTTTACAATCCTCAGAGTTTATACCAGCTCCTTATTACATCAGCCCACTAACTTGCCGTTTTTCATTTTCACAAAACAACGAACTTAAACGCTGTGCCTCCGCACCTTCCCATGAAGAAGCTTCTTCAGAGATGGAAGACGGTGGAGGAGCACTCAGTCAGGAGTAGCTGGACCTCATTCCAGTCTGCCTAGCAACACGCTGTGTGACCCTGAGCCAGCCTCGTAACTTCTCTGCGCTTCAGACTCCTTTATAAAACTGAGGAGGTGGATCTCTGAGGCTACTATTCTAATTTGGGGTGGCTCCCTTTTTTTTTTTTTGTGAGGAAGATCGGCCCTGAACTAACATCTGCCAATCCTCCTCTTTTTTTTTTGCTGAGGAAGACTAGCCCTGGGCTAACATCCGTGCCCATCTTCCTCTACTTTATATGGGACGCCGCCACAGCATGGCTCCACAAGCGGTGCCTCGCTGCACGCCTGGGATCTGAACCAGCAAACCCCGGGCCGCCGCAGCCGAACGCACACAGTTAACCGCTTGTGCCGCCAGACCGGCCCCAGGGTGGCTCCCTTTTGATTTTAGATGCCTTTATTTTTTTTAATTGTAGGATAGATCATATTTCCAGAAGACTACATAAAACAAATATGTACATTTTAAAGAATAATTGTAAAGTTAACACAGATGTAACCCCCTCTCAAGGCAAGAAACGGGGGGTGCCAGCTCCCCAGTAGTCCTTCTTCCCATACTTCTCCCAGAATACAAACCCCTTCCCTCCTTCCTTTCCCAGAGGCCATACCAGCTATTCTAACTTCTCTGATAATATTTACAGGCTTCTCTTTATGGATTTACCCATATAGACACATCCCTCAACAATGTGGTTTAATTTTGCTGGATTGTGAATGTTACATATATAGAATCATCCTGCATGCATTTCTTTGTGACTTGCTTCTTTTCTTCAGCTTGATGATTGTAAGATTTATCCATGTTGTTGTGTGTAGCTTTAGTTTGCTCATTTTCATTGCTACATTGTATCCCATTGCATGCGTGCATTTGGGTGTGTGTACTTACTGCAAATGCAGGTACTTTCCAGCTGGGGTCTGTAGCAAAGTATGCCGCTGGGGTCCCTTTCCCACAGGTACAGCTGTGTTCTCTAGCGAGAGTTTGTCCTGTCTCTAGGAACTGTTATGATTTGCAGGGCAAGGATCCATCCTCTGACAGGTTTCTATTTATATAAAAAATAACACTCTCACACTAGTATACCCTTTTAACTTTTGTATGATTTCATTCTGTACTCACCACCTCCATCTGAGGCAAAGAATAGTACTGTTCCCATTCGCAGAGGAAGAGTCCGAGGGCCAGAAATGTAGTGGCCACACTGTCACTTAGTGACAGAACTGGGAGTAGACCCCTGGACCCTGTGTCCTCTGGCCCTGGGTCACTTCCACTGAACACTCAACAGAGAGTTCAAGTCCTTACACAAATCAGGTGACTAGTGAATGACACGTTCTCTTTATGTCCTGAGGGGAAAATGCATAAGAGGATTGGGAGCCTTTTGGGAAGAGGGGATAAATATGAAGCAAGATGCCAGAGAGGGTGGGAGGTGGATGGGAGAGACACAGCTGCATCTT